ACAGTGTTATATAACGAATGACATTAATTCCTTTGCCACAAATCATCAAAATTAATTAATAAAATAATTAAATTTCTTATATACAAAATGCATATAGCATGTGCAAATTAATTACCTTTTTTTTACTCTAATTTCCGAGTAGCAAATTCAAAATGAACATTAATTACACTTATATACAATATACAGATTAGTTTTAAATAGACTTATGTACAAAATAATCGTGTATGTACAAATATATAACGGAGTCTAACATCATTAAAATAAACATTAATTTCTTAGAAAATTTATTATAAAATATACGGATTTTATAATAAATTTTCGACTAGGGCTTATATAATTTACTATCCTAATATTAAAAACGAAAAAACGATCAATGGTATCGTGTCGTAGTACCAAATAATTATGTTTTTCTATTTTCTTTTATCAGAAAAAGCAAATTTTTAGCTAAATGAAGGCTAAGACTATAGACGAAACGTATAAATTTTAGAATATATTATTTTAAATTCATATTTCTTTTGTTATACTCGATTTATGGACTTAATACATATGTCACTCAAATTTATACAAAATATGATATGCATTTTTAACATAGAATACACACAAATGATATAAAAAATTTATATATTATATATTAATTTATTCCTAAAAACTGATTTTTGTTCATAATTCAGAAGCTAATATTTTACAGATAAAAATTTATAGATTTTTTTTATTAAAAATCTAGTATTATTGTGAACGGAAAATCCAATACCGATTATTATTACATAAGAGTTTTTAAAAAATATTTACATTACAAGTCGAAATGCTTGAGATTTAAAAACCAAAATTATTTTATTATTATACATTAGTTTGAGCCAATAAGTCCAATGTCGACAAATACTTTACACACGAACATATAAAAAAAGATTTATAGTACAAATCTATATTATCCTTAACCAATAAAAACCAATGCTGATGATTAGCATTTGTTAGACCAGTAAGTCCAACGCTGATGAAAACTCTACTATTAATACAAATATTTAGATATATATATAATTATTATTTTACCTTTTTTCCTTCATCAACAATAAGTGCTATAGCTCGGCGTCCAAGACCGCGATCATCGCTGGCCGGCGATTGGAGCCATTTCCGAGCCTGTTCTAATCTTCCTTGTACTGTGTGAGCGGTCTGTTGCAAACCAGCCTTGTCTACCCCGAGGACAGCTCCCATGACTGCTTGTTGTAATTGCTACAAACGTAGATTTATGCAATATACTTAAGAAGAAAATAATTTTCCTTTATGATTAATTATCAGGTTCTTCCAACGCTTAAAAAGGAACCACTTTCTCATGTTTTCAATGACATCACGGCCAAATGATGAGGGAGGGAATTGAAAACTAGTACCATGAGGTTGCTCCCAAAGGAAACAGGATTAAACCCCCCCCCCACAACGTATCGCCGTTGTGATATTCAAAATTATCCTTCCTCATCAAACATCACGTATATTTTTAGTTACAAAAAAAGTAAAATTTTTGATTTTATATAAAATATTTTGATTTAAAAAAAAAAAACTTTTAGAAAATAAAAATACGTAATATCTTACTATTCGTGATTTTTTGTCAAAAACCCCCCTCCCCTAAAACGAATCATTGGCATTTACTGAACCGCTATTAGGTTAGTGTACAATTAACAAGTTAATCAATAATCAATAATTAAGCAATTATACGTTTTCTTATTAAAATAAGTCATTTAGTCATTCCAATTGTAAACATTTGCTTACTCAACAAAATAGTTCTGTTCAACAGTAACATGTGTTGTAGTTTATAAAAACCGGTCAAAATACGGGGTACGGATTTAGGCAGTAGTACGACTTGAGCAAAATCGCCTTACATTGGATTTTTTTCAGAAGAACAAGAAGTTTAAATACCTAGGTGGGTCCAATTTTGTATGGCAAAGCGTACTTACTCTAAGTGTGCTTTTATTTTGCAAGCATTTATGATATAGATCTCTTTGGGGACGGCTGTCCACCTGAGTGGCCAAACATACTCTGTGAGGCACAGGCTATTTTATAAACAATGATTTAGTTTGCATCGAAAAGTTGAATAAATTACACATAGCAGTGATAAACAGTGTTGTATTTTAAAGATAATTTTAAGTTATTTTAGTAGTATTTTTAGCCTTTTTTTTGCTATATAGTCTTTTTTTCATATTTCAAAAGGCCAAGCGCTTTTAAATATGGCAAAACGACTGGTAAATCTTGTGAATTAAGCAGTAGTGAAGATGGGTTTCAAATAGACATTCATACAGAAAAATTTTACGAAATTACTATTCGCAACAAAGATAGTGATGAATGTGATGATGATATTATCCAACCAACAAAAAGAAGAAGTTCGACAAATTAAATGAAGAGCGGAAAGACATTAGCGAATGTGCCGCTTCTCCTTCAATAATCGAGTTTGACATTCTAAATGCGAGTTCTGACAGTTCTGCCAGAAAAGCACCAGGAGAAAGGCGGGGAACAACATTTTATTGTAAAAAATGTCAAAATCAACCAGCTATGCATTTTGGAAATTGTTTTGAACGTCACCATTCTTTATAAAATGATTATAAATATATGTCCTTCAATGACCACACATTTTTAATCAAACAAATTGCATAACATACACAATGAAATCAAGTTTACAGCCGGTACAGTAGATTGTTTTGAAATCGGTGCCGTCCCGAAAGTGATATAAATCAAGTTCTAACCCTTTCGACTCGGATGCCGCTCCGGTGGCAAATTTCATATAAATCTCGCAATTCGCGAGTGGAAAGGGTTAGATTTTGTGAGAATAAAGCAAAATAAGTTTACTAAATAACACAGACCGTCAGCTTTTCCTTTATTTCATCAGCAAGTGCCTGCGCTTGAGGTGTGTTTCCTTTACCAGCTTGGCGCAGTTCGCACAGTGCATCCGTCTTAGAGGCTATTTCTCCAGCTAGACGTGATATCTGCGCCGCGTCCTGCGGTAAGCAATGATCGCATACACGCCGAGCAGTTTCTATAATCTGTCTTAAGGATTTTTCTCCTACGCCTCCCCTCAAAGCGCGTGGATCCTGTTAAAAATGAAATATAAGTTCGTTATCACAAAAAAAACTTTTAGTTTAGGACATTGCTACTAACACTAAGCCAGTCTGTAGCAGTCAACATTTTTGTGTGGATGGCATTGCTCAGTTTTTTCAATACTGTCAGGTTGTCCAATTCGCTCTGGTCTTCATCATATGTAGTTAACTGTAAGACTCTGTAAAACAAAAATCATATTTTATATGCGTATATAGGGCAAAATAATATTACCAAATACCTAATAATCTCATGAATTTCATCAGACATTCTTGAAGATAAATAGTTTCTGTTTTCAGATGCCTCTTCGGCACCCTTGCCACCTTGATCCATAATGTGGATATAGATCTTCATACTGCAAATCAAAATCGGAGCTAAGGTTTTGACTTGTTCAAGGCATCGAACTAAAATCTCGCTGTGAACTTGATGTGTTAATTCTTTTTCACGAGCACTCACTTCTCGTGAAACCTATCAGAAAAATTGCACGAATTAATGAAAATTACAATGAAAATACTAAATATATATATTACCTTGCTCAAGCACGGACTGAGATCTTTTAAGAATTGTATTAAATCTTCCATTGTGTCTATAACTTCAGCTACGGCTAGATAATCCAAAACCTAAACTTATATATAAAAATGTATAATAAACAATTTAAAGTATTTTCTAAAAGATATAAGGAAGACCATAATTTTATTTTTACCTTCTTGCATTCCCGCATAATTTTTCTGACCTCAGATTCATCAAAACATAGCAAAAGTGCTGACGTTCCCTGTAAAATACCCCTAGATCCTTCTATCAACTTTTTCCGAGCAGGGCCGGAATAGGGGTCTTGTTTAAGCATTGCCGAAGCATCTTCGAGCAGACGGGAAGCCTCTTCGACCCGAAGTAAAGCACTCGGCATGTCTTGTTTGAGAATGTCATCCTCTGAGCTGTTTATAGTATCTCGCCCGACCTGAAGAACCATCGAGTTAAACGAATATAGTTTTATTATTAGAATTATTTCATAAAAAAAATTCTGAAAATTATACAAATACTACCTTGACTAAGTTTGTGACAGCTCTGGATACAGCCTGTACCGGCCGCTCCAGATCGGGCATAGCATTTCCATCTTCGGCTTCTTCATGTAGAATTACTAGTCGAGATACCTGAAACCAAAAATTATTAGTATTTATTGTATAAACATTTTCATAAATTGTAATGGGTCCAGTTATAATATAACAGATCTAAACAAGTGTCCAGAAAACAGATCTAAATATTCCTCTGGGCATTTTGAAATATATCAAATGCAGATGGGCCAACCGTTGCGTTACCTTCTAAAAAGCTACGTATTTAAGAAGTTTTATGTTGTTGTAGTTGTCTAGATTGTTGTTGAAAAAAAACATACTTTGTCAGTGATAATAATGGCTCATAAATAAATTACAATTGTTGATTAATGTTTTTATAGTAACGCCGAAATCGCAAAATCTTCTATATGAAAAAACTATTTTCAGTAACTTTATCAATGAGATAAATAATATTATTCCAATGCAAGATATATAATTGATATCAATACTTCGAGTGAGTAATTAAAATCTGCATCTTATATTATAATCTAAACAATGCCTATCAACTAAAAACAAGCGCGCCTTATCTGTTTTGATAAATTTCTAATTAATAAAGAATTTATCAATTTAATACCTGTTCAAACAAAGAACCGATAATAGAAATAATGGCATAAAACGAGCACGAGAACATGTTTTGCATTTCTTATTATTCTCGCAAAATTATTAAACAATTGTAGCTTAATTTCCGGCAGATAATTTGGGAACCGATAAAAAAATTACTAAAGAATTTAATCTCTACCGAGGTTTATAAACGTTTAAAACATCAATAACCATTAGAACAACTTAATCAGTAATAAACACTTGAAAAGTTAAATCCAGCTTGAAGTTTGAAACAATTTGATGTACTAAGAAATAATAAAATAAAAGTAAATATTGCCGAAGAAAGTTAAACAAGTCGGCTGTTACAATAAAAGAAGACAAACTTTTAGTTATTCATACAAATAACATAATACAACAAACGTTCGAAAAACCCGTCCAGAAGCCATAATGCAAGCTAAATAAATGTATTTTAAGACTCGTTCACGGAATATCAAAGTTTCTCCGCTTTTGAATTTTACTGCATTTCAACATACGTCCAGGAAAAGTTGGACTAGACAGAGGCGTTACAATTATACAGATATTTTTTTATATATTTAGCAGCAATCAGACCTGAACGAGTCGTATGAGCGGGTGTGCTTATTTCTTTTAATAACTTGACTTTATAGATGACAACCCAAACGGTCGCCATATCACTATAAGATGAATCTATTATTATAATTTCTGTAATACTGATTTTTTTTATTTGTGCAGCAATGCCGGATGAAGGCTACTTTCACATAAAACATATTGCTAACTATGTAATGTAATGTAAAGAAAACCGGTGAAAATCGCAAAACTACTGCTCGAAACCAAGCTGTACGAAAAGGGTATCGAACTTGTAACTTGTAACTCATTCGAATCCCATAGTTCTAACCACTAATTCTAATAATACACATTAACTACTATTTTATGTATTATAAAATAAACATATTTTTTAGCTTTATCCCAGTATAAAAAAAGAGTACTAAATAGTCTAAATTGTTCATATTTTGAAAATTAGCCTATTTGAGTAATTTTACAATAGTAAAGTTAAACTCTTTTTTGTAAATTGAAATACAGCCCTTTTTGAATCTTTTTGAATTGTAATGTAAGAACATGAGACTTTCCTCCATGGAGCGAAATCCAAATTATTTGTTTTCTAATTTAACAAACAGTGTTTTTCTGCTCATGCAAAAATAACTTATAAGATATTAAGGTATGTTATTATGATAATAGTATAAGATATTAATGTATGTTATGATAATGTATGTTATTATGATATAGTAATATAAAGTTATGATATTGCAATTCAGAAAAAAAAGGATTGTAATATACTACTATACTAACATTATTTTAATAGCAGATATATAAAGTACCTAGTGGCGTGTATGGCATCGTGCCTTAAAGCAAATTGCTGGAACGTCCCGTACCGTAACGAAATGTTCGAGGAATACTGAATGTTTTCAAATAGATTATTATTAATATTGTAACATTGACTAATATTTATAAGAATTATTATTATATATATATATATATAATTATAATTATATAAACTGAATTGCAAAGTTGAAATTATTTGTTTAAAGTATATTAGAACTTTAGTCAGAATTAAAAATAAATTCTGAATTATTTTCGATATACATTTTTTTAAAAAAAAAATGAAAAAAAAAAATTGAAACAAAAACTTCTTTTTTCCAAAATCAATTATTTTGTTAAGACAAGCAGGAAGTTCTTTGAATCATTTAAATCGGACGCTTAATTCTCTCAAAAACTGTCATTTTTTACACATTTAGCTCCGTATCTTCGAAATGGCTGGGCCTGCCTTTTCCAAAAACTAACAAACACTTCTAATCATTAAAAATTGAATGTTTTTTAGATCATTCAAATCGGATGCTCCGTTCTCTCAAAAACTCGATTTCTATTTTTTGCACTCTTTGCTCTTTATTTCCGTAACTGCTGGACCTGCCCTTGCCAAAAACTAATCAGCACATCTCCTTAATAGGAATCGAATGTTTTTTGAACCATTCAAATCGGTTGATCCGCGCGACCGAAAACGTGACTGGAAATTTGTATCCATACATACATACAAACACACACATACATCCATTTTTTCTGAGGTATACCAAAATGTTCAGAAACCTTCAAAACGTCGAGAAATGTAAAAAAATTTCAATTTCGATTTTCGGCCCATTACAATAACTTACCCTACGGGAAGTTAAAAATAAGTATTTGTTAATTATTTTATTGTCCTGGTCTCTTCAGCACTTAGCCACTTACATTTCTTTATTCTGTTCAAAGCATTTTCCATACTTCTTTTCATATGTGTTACATACTTCTTATATCATACTCTATTCCATATTCTGTATCAAAACTATTTTTTACATGCTTTTCTTTTTACCCAGCGTCGAGATTCGATTTTGATACCTATTTTGTAAACTATAAAACCTCTAAAAATTTTGTCTGCCTTTTTAATGCCAAATGTATGAAAATATATTATCGCATTGTCATAAAGTTCAGCTCTGCGCCAAACTCCTTTGAAATGAGTTCACAAGAAAAGCGATGGGCATTCTGCCAATGAAACACGCGCACAAACAAAGCTCGAATTTGACTTAGGCGTCCAGAGACGCTGCTTCGGTCAATAACTGCAGACGCATGCTTGGTGAATCATTAATTTTAGCTAATTACAAGCTGGATGAGACTATAAATATAGATATCTTAGGGTATAGCACTAGGTGGACTAATGCTATCTGATTATTCGATGGAGGACTCGAGAGGAATAAAACAATCCACTGAATTTGACAAAAATAACGACAAAATGATAATCCCGTTTGTCAATATTAAAGGTAACGAGTAACTACAACAACCTTAAATTTACCATTTTAAATTGATCAACTATATTATCATAAATTCTGCAGTGTTATGATTGATATTAAATTTTTATGATATCTGACTTTTTTCATATGTCACCAATCAGAACCTTACGACCTATAAGCTGTTGGGCTGAACCTTCTCCTTACGCCATATTTTTAGATGGTAACGCTACCATTGTTGATCTATCTAAATATGATTATTAACTTCCCGTACGGCAAGTTATAGTATTCGCAAAAAAATCGAAAATGAAAATTTTCATATATCTTTACGTTTCAAAACCTTCTGAACATTTTGGCATACCTTAGCAAAAATGGATGTATGTGTGTGTGTGTGTGTGTGTGTGCGTGTATGTATGTATGTTCGGATACAAATTTTCGTCGACGATTTCGGGAACACGGATCAACCGATTTGAATAATTCAGAAAACATTCGATTCGTATTGATAAGGAGACGTGCTGATTAGTTGGTGAAGGCAGGTCTAGCCATTACGAAGATATGGGGCAAAAAGTGCCAAAAATGGTAACTCAGTTTTTAAGAGAACGGAGCGTCCGATTTTAATTATTCAAAAAACATTTTACTTGTATTGACAAGATGAAGAATTGATTAAATTTTCATGAAGGCAGGTCTAGCGGTTTCGGAGATCTAGTGAAAAAAGTAAAAAAAGCCATTTGGCGGTCAAAAATGATCATTAGACATATGCACATCAAATTATCAGATATTTTACAGAGATTTTAATAATAAGTATAACTTTGTTTACATTGCTATGGGTTCCGTACCAATGTTTATCCGTTAGACGGCGATGCGGCGCTTACGCGCTTTGACATTTCGTCTCTATGTAGTTAAAGCAGTACGATTGCTTTGAAAAAAAGTTCAGAATTTCCAAAATATGTCAAAATAAAAAAAACTTGTTCAAAAAAATTTTTTTTTTCAAAAAAAAGTAATTTTTTGTCAAATTTATAGTTTCTCAAAAATCTAATTTGTTCCAAGTAAATTTTATTCAACAATGTTAATCTTTTTAAAAAATAATTTTTGGTACGGGAAGTTCCAGCAATTTGCCTTAAGGCACGACGCCATGCGTCCCACTAGTTTTGTTATTAGAATTTATCTAATAGGGCTGACTTATTGTTCAATTTCAATACTTCGGATGGGCTATTTGCACTCGAGAACATATTTAAGATCTATATTTCCAACTGAAACTTGATATCATCACTGCATTTTTTTTTGGACTGACTTTGATGTCAGTATTTTATTGCAACCCTAGATTTTCACTATTTAAGTATGTTTTATTAATATAGCTACGTTCGTCTATAGTAAACTATCTTAGTGAATCCGCAAACTATCTTATCACTTTCTCCATTATTGATTTATTCTGCTTTATTTTACAGAAAAGGTGTTAAATTTTTTGAGAAACGATCCGAGTGAATGAGATACTGGACTTCATAATTGGAAAATGTTCAAGATGAAGACATCAATCCAAGTTTACATTATACTCATAATATCAAGATATAATATATCAATTAATTGTATTTATATTTTGATCTTATTTGTGATTTTGAAAGATTGTGAACTTAATTTAATATTGTAAAATTCTGTATCCGTAAATGAATATACTTACTCGTACATCATGTACGATATCATATCATAGGTACATTTTTGTACTCAATAGCTAATAAT